CACGGCTCACTGCACCCCTGACCTCCTGGGCTCAGGTGATCCTTCCACCTCAGCCTCCTGAGTAGCTGGGACTACAGGTGTGCACCACCATGCCTGGCTAATGTTTTGATTTTTTTGTGGAGACAAGATCTCGCTATGTTGCCCACACTGGTCTTGAACTTCTGGGCCCAAGCAGTCCTCCTACTTCAGCCTCCCAAAATGCTAGGATTATAGGTTAAAACAAAACAAAACAAAACAAAAAAACTCTGTAGTATGTATACTTGGTGACTGTTATAGTTTTTTTAAATATAAGCGATTCATAAGTATATTTTTATTTTAAAAGATTTAAATAATATAACCGCATAGGCAGCAAGACATGAAAATTCTCATTCATTCTCTTACTTGGCTTCCATTCCCAGTTCCCAAAGTAACACTTACCTTGTTACCCCTCATCCCTTTCAACACATTTATATGCATTTTAATATATCTTATTTCTTTTAAAAATGAGATTACACTGTTCACTACCCTTTTCTGTGTTTTATTTATTATCTTGGAAATAGTTCCACTTATTAATATCTTGTGGAGCTTCCCATGACTATTTCTATAGATTAGATTCCTAGGAGGGCAATTCCTAGGTCCAAGGAACTTAAACTCTCCATCAGATTTTCTTTTCTAAGTTCCTTTATGGTTTGATTGTTATTTTCCTGGAAAATGCTCTAGAAGTTTAATGAACTGCTTGAAATAATGTGAAATAAGTTTCCTGGTTATTGATTTGTTCCCCTTAGCAAGAAAGTTGTAAACCATGAGTGTTATACCTTTAAGGAGTCTATTTTTTAAAAAAAAATACAGTTGATCTCTTAGTCTAGGTGTTAGCTAACACACAGATATCTGCAATCTATAGGACAAATGGAGTTTTTGAAGTTATTATAGGAAAAGACTAGTGAAAAATGTCTTATAATACTATTTTACAGTGGAGAAGTCTGACAGATACCACCTTATCAAGTGACCAAGGTTAACATCATGATAATCATTGATATCACGCAATGATATAAGTGAGATGGGGTATGCCTCTTTGACATTTTTCTCCCAAACCCGTAACTCTGGTCTAATAAGAAAATATCAGAGAAACCCAGTTTGAGGGACATTCTACAAAATACCTGCCAGTATTCTTCAAAAGTGCTAAAACCATACAAGCTAATCATAGTCTAAAGTAACTCTCACAGATTAGAGTACACTAATGAGACAATGAGAACTTGATATACAGAAAAATAGTCTTAGGGAAAACTGATAAAATCTCAATAAAGCTCGTGGTTTAGTGTTGTACTAATGATTTGCTAATATATTATGGTTATATAAGATGCTAACATTAGGGGAATCTGGGTACAACTCCTCTGTAAATCTAACATCATTTCAAAATAAAATGGTTTTTGTTTTTTAAAGTATGTTTATTCTTCTGGATCATTTGTTCCCAAAAAGTTTCTCTCCCCCTAGAAAATTGCTTCTTTCCTCTTAAATCCAAGAAGACCTCTTGTCCCAAGGGATAAAGAGATCTTTTGAGCTAGAGATCTATGAATGGGTGATGGGGTATAACCGTGGCCATAAGAAACCATAAAGATATGATCTGGCCAGGCACTGTAGCTCAAGCCTGTAACTCCCGCACTTTGGGAGGTCAAGGTGAGGAGATTGTCTGAGCCCATGGGTTCAAGAACAGCTTGAGCAACTTGGCGAGACCTCATCTCTACAATAAGTCAAAAAATTAGCTGGGTGTGGTGGGTGCATGCCTGTAGTTCTGGCAACTTGGAAGGCTGAGGCGGAAGGATCAAGGCCACACTGGGGTGGCACTGAGTGTGCCCCTGCACTCCAGCCTAGGCAATGGAGTGAGACTCCAACTCTCTCTCTCTCTATATATATATATATATAATCTGAGGGTCATGTACACCATCAGACCTGAAGTATCAGAGGAATGGACTTTTTGTTTGGAATGGATGGCCAAAGTGAAAGTCCAAACTTAAAATGTGAAAGAGCCATTCCAGATTGATTTTGTGAAACATAATAACCCAGAACAAAGTTGTTTTTTTTTAAATAAATAGTACCCAAAAGTAACTGCAACTCAAAAGTGTAACATAATGTATGAGTATTGAAAATGCAAAAAAGAGAGATAAAGGAACGTTTAGCCATGGTGGCAAAATTTCCACTTGATAAAGGGAAACTTGTGCAGTCAAAGATGAGACTGACTCTCTGAGGTTAGCATGTGTCTAGACATTCCTACAAAAGATAGGACCCAGCAAGTAAAGCTGTGAGTAACCCAAAGACAGATTGCAAAATGGGCTAGTACCAGTGGCTAAAAAGATTACCACAAGATTATCCTCAGAAGGAGATAGTATTTAAATGGGATACCTCCCTTCCCCTACTCTAACATACTATAATTAGTCATATCTGTGTGTAAGATAACTGCTGATAATTATAAATCACTCCTGTTTGTTCTTCTTGATAATTTGGAATGTAAGAACCCCTATAGTTAATGTAAAATTTTTTGAATGGGTGGACCATCTGGTTACAATTGTTGTTTCAAATCCCTGTTATGCAGCTGGCACCCAAATAAGGATTTCTTTTAAAATATGAGTAGGCAGAGTCAGTCACAAATAAGCAAAACGTTTTGCTTTTTATCGCTAGCATCCAAGATGTTAGCAGATGCAGTGTTTAATGAAATGGTGCTTCTTTAGGCAAACTTCTTTTAACCATGACATGTCTGACTGATACCAGTGGTCAGCACATTTTCCTGTAAAGGGCCAAGTAGTAAATATTTTTGACCTTGAAGCCATATATGGTTGCTGTTTTGTATTTGTCATTTTTATTTTAAACAAACCTTTAAAAATATAAATGTTCTCTGTGTCCTTCACCATGTTTTCATGCTTTGTGATAGTTGCTAAAGTTTGGAGACTTGTTTTAAACAATGATCTGAAGTAATGTTTCTGGCAGTGGATTTATTGCTATTGGCAGAAGATCTGTAATCATGACTTTGGTGAATTTATAAGAAAATAGATGCATGGTTGATCTCTCGTTGTAGGCATTTTTTGCACATTCATGGGAGATATTCTCGAAAGGTATGACACTTGTAAAACCCATCATACCCACAAAGTTTGCTGTTCAGAACTGAAATGCCTAAATAGTTTTCCATTTCAAATTAGTATTATGTAAGATGTTTTGTTTCTAAATAGACTAATTATTAAATTTATTTCATATTGTAACATGTAATAGTGGTAGTCTGTTTTTTAAAAGGCTCCAGTTACTTTGTTTTCTAATGAAACCCTTTAACGTCTCCCTTTTCATAGTTTATTGCTGTTGACTCTTGTAAGTTGACCCTAAAGCTGCATTGTTGATTTCACAAGGTCTCATTTTACAATTATGTTACTGTTTCTTCCTCTGGTTTGTGATAGAGCTGTGGTTCTTCACTGTTTCTGCCACAAGCCATCCTTTACTAAACCTCAGCAGGTGGGCTTTAGGATACTGTGGTGAAAAACATCTAAATCTCCCTAAAAGGCTAGCTGATTAGGTGAAAGGCTGTGGATTTTAGGGATATACTTTGCCAACTTCACGTAGTTCTTCTAAGATGGTAAATAGGCTCACACGTTTCAAGATTTGAACTTTTATTTATTCTCTTTATAATTTTAATAACATTATGTCAAGAAATCATCCATAACTCTTGCTATTATATATAATATATAAAACATATAAAATATAAACCTTTGTTATGTTTTGCTAAATACTGTTTAATCTAGCTGATAGATGTGCTATTTTAGCAGAAGATTGTCTGATAAAAATCCATTTAATTTCTGTCTTAGAACTGGCTCTAAAATAACTTCTCAGATGATACTTGGAATTCTTAATATTTTTAAAAATCCGTTTTACCAAGGTACCTTTTTAGGGCAGCACAGAAAATAAAGCGGTAGTGTGTTTTTTTAATAATCAATTGGATTAAGAAGGAATTTTTAAAAACTCATTAGAAAGTTGATTGGGGTTTATTTAATTAGTTTTTCCTGTTTTGAGTAATTAAGGCTCTAAAAAAATCTCTAATCATTTTATTTTAGATATTTGGTTTCTATAAAAATGAAACTATTTATTAACCAAATGATAGTCCATTAAATGAGATACTTTGATTCCATTATGATGAATTTCCTGGTAGAAATCTTATTTTCTCTTAAGCAGAATCCAGTCTTGTTAATATCACCATGTCAACCGGAAGAGAAGAAAATTTAATATGCATAATAAAGAAAAAACACTGACATATGACTTTTTAAAAGTCTTTGGAATTCAACATATAACTTCTTATACTAGAAATTGAGCAGAAAATTAGTCTTTTCCCCCAACATCTATGTCTCATAGTGTATTTCAGGGTTTTAAAGAACATTTGGGGGTTTTGTGTTCTACATAAACGTGACGATGTTAGTATAATTTCACCATTCTTTCTTTGGAAGACACTGGTCACTCACTATTAGCTTATGTCATGGATGTTGATGTGGAGTGTGAGTAAGCTAGTGGGTGAGAGAGGGTGCGTGGGTGTGTGTATTTGTTCATTTCTAATGGGGCCGTTCTGAGAGTCTTTCGGTCAGCTGTCAGGCTGATGCTTTCCTGCTTTGTTCCTTTGAGCCGCTCCATGACTAACCGACTGGACACTGGAAAGGAAAGCTTTTAAAGGATTAGAATGGGGGCCCTCCTGTCCTCTCCTTCGCCTACATCGTAGCAGCTGCATTCTGCCCTTTCGGTGGCCCTGCAGGGAATGGAGGCTTGTGTGTAGCAGTCTTCTGTCAGCATGCATTATAAGGTTCCTAAAGCACACGGAATGAGAGCTTTCCTCAGACAACTCTTTGTCAAGACCAGCCCACGTGGGGAAACGTATTTCTATGCTTGGTCTTGTAACGGTGACTGTTTTTGTTGTGTGGCTTCAGGAGAAATTTAACTTCCAAGACCGAGTTGTGCAGTGTCTCCATCCTTACCCACCCTTTCCTTTTGAACTCTCACAGGCAGCAGTACCTGTCCAAAGATCACCATCGATCTGCCTTGTTCCGTAGGCAGCACAAGCACACTGGTTGATCAGAATGTATCTGATGAAGCGGCTCAGGGAATAAATGGGAAAACGCCAGCGAAACACTCCGCTGCAAGTCCAAAGCCACAAGGTATGTTTCCTGGGGGTTTCTGATCAGGGCAGGTGCTTTGTTGACTGACGAAAGCTACCCAGAAGAATGATGACCACAAAGAAGGAGTTTTCATCTGTAAAAGAGAGGAATGGGATCCATTATTTTTCAGAGAAGAGTCCATCTGGGAGCCCTCTGAAGCAGAGGTTGGCATCTGCTCTGCTTCTGAGACAACTTAAACATTTCTCTCTTGTGATTATTTTTGCATACCTGAAATTGTTTGCATGTTCCTTTAACAGGCTGTGATCTCTTCATGCATTATGCCTGACCTAGCACAGGGCCTAACTTACTGTGTGTGTAATGAGTGTGTTTGAATTACTGTCAGAAAGAAATGACTTGCTAGATGTCAGAATATCTGTGAAACAGATCATTCTAAAACAGTGCTTAATGCACTCATCAAGAACGTACTTTGAAATATAAAGAAACTGGGCCTTGAACATGCCTCATAGTAAGGTCATCCACAGAAATGAAAAGTAAACAGCCCCCTTCATTCAGAATTGAGTGACCAATGAGGAAAAAGTAAAAAATGTAATGGTAGAAAGTGTTAAATATTCAGCACTGAATGTTCAGTGGCCATTTCCTTTTACAAAGAAATTTCCAGTGAACTGTGTATTAACTTTGAGAAGCACAAAACTATAGTTTAGATGATAGAGAGCAAGACACTTTGAAATGTAACCCAAAAGCAAAGCTACAGTGTGGTTTAATATGTGTAGTTTCTTCCTTATAGATTTTCATTTATAATAAATGCTTAATATCCAGCCAAGAAACAATACTGGGCATTATCAGAATTGCTACACTCTGGGAAAAATTCATTTTTATTTTGTGTTTACTTTGGTCTCTTTCCTGTTCTTGCAAAGAAAAAAATGTTATAGAGGTTGCATTATAAAAGAACATGTGTTATTCTTTGAAGTTGTATGTTTTAAGGATTTCTGAAAGAAAATTTTAAAATGAGTTTGAAATGAAATCTGAGGTATTTGTCTTTTTGTTCTTACTGCTAGCCGTATTCATGGTGGTGTGGGCTATGACTGTCAAGCAAAGTTAGGTAATTGGCAGTTCAAATGAGTGGCCCATTCACGTACTTACAATCTTTTCTTTTGACTACGCTTCTCCCTTATAACACTGATGTGTATAAAAACATAGGGAATTTTTTTTACTATGATTTAAGCTGTTTTATTTCCAAAATACAAAATTCTATCTTGCTCATTAGACTTGTGTTGACAAAGATCAAGCATGAGGTAAGAATATAAAAATGAATACAATTCTAGTTTATGTAATTGCCCACATCAGAGGAAGAATTTCATTACTTAAAAAGCCTTTTTTTGGAAGACGTATTGCATTACTTCATTGTTTTTCACAGTCAGTATTAAGATAAGTCAAGCAGTGTCCTTCCTGAGCTGCTGTCTGCCAAAATAATCCCATTCTTCAAGGAGACAACACTTGACCTTGCTGTTTTGTAGTTTATATTAAAGCCAATATATTGCTACTTAAATACATATTTCTTATCCTAAATATGGGTTAGTGATGCATAATCTTCTCACTAAAGGGAATACTTCCAGATATTAAGTAAATCACAAAGTACTTTATGTTTCTTATTCAAAATACTTTCATTCGTTTGGCCCTTCCCTGGAACCCATGGCTAAAATTTTAATCTGACCCTTAACCCTGACATTTTATATTTTCTCTTGCCATAGTCTGTTCAGGCTGCTATAACAAAATACCATAAACTGGGTAACTTAGAAGCAACAGAAATTTATTTCTCACAATTCTTAGGCTGTGGGAAGTCCAAGATCAAGGTGCTGGTAGATTCAGTGTCTGGTTAGAGCCTACCTTCTGGTTTATAAATGGCCATCTTTTCACTATAACCTCACATCATGGAAGAGTCATTGAGGTCTCTCTGAGGCCTCTTTTAAAGGGTACATAACCTAATCACCCTCCAGCCTCTTCATATTGTTATGTTTCCTTGGGAACGAAGATGTCAACATGAATTTTGAAAGGGCACAAACACAGACTGTAGCACCCCAGCCCAATCTTATTTTTTTCTCATTCGTTACCATTTGACCTACTATTTTGCTCATCCGGCTCAGTTTCTCCTGCCGTTTTCACTACTGCATCCCCTCACATAGCACATCACAGTTCTTCTATGATCTTGTTTCGTCACCACATCTCTTCTACTTTGTTTCTGCGATTCTTTGTTTACAACTATGAACATGTGCCATACAGAGACCAACATCCCTGAAATGAGGCTACATCTCAGTATTGTCAGATGAACCACCACATAGATTGGGTACTGTTTATTGGCTTAGTGATGAATAATAAGTATTTCTTACCCTTCGGCAGAGAAGAAGTTACTTTTAATTTCCCCAAACTCCTAAGAACATTTGGGTGACTGAGGTGGAGAAGAGAAGGGAGTGCAAATGGGAACTTCCCGCAAGGAGCGAGGAATTACCATACTGGCACCTTTGTTCCCACCTCCTTGCAGATCCATTACGAACTGTGAACTGTGATCCGTTATGTAATTTTAATGTAATTGAGGACTCTTATTCTAGATCAGTAGATCGCACCTGGAGACAATGTTGCCTACACACACTCCCCTTCCCCCACAGGACATTGGTAGCATCTTGAGACATTTTGCTTGACACTACTTGTGAGAGTTGCTGCTTACACCTTGTGAATGGTGGGTAAGGGTGCTGTTGAACATCCTACAATGCGCATGTCAACCTCCTAGAGCAAAGGATTAACACAAACTGTAATGCCAATAGTGCTGAGATGGAAACACTCTGATCTAGATCCTAAAATAAGCACACAATTAAATCTTGGGGTCTTTTTTCAAATGTGGATAGCTAATGAGATCATAGCTACCATTTAAAATTAAGGAGAGAGTTTTGCATACCTCTTTTCGTGCTGATTATATAGTAATGTGTCTGAAACAATTTACGGTTTGTGCTTGTGCTTATTAATTACCAGTAAGAAAATATTTTTGAAGGATTTTTTAATAGGTTTTTAATTGGTAAATAAGCTTACATTTGGATCTAAATTGGAGTATGTGGATTTTGAAATGGATTTGTTTTAGTAGAGCTTGTTTTTGCCTCAGCTTCAGAAAATACCCTAAGGTCTTGGGAAACAATGGCTTATTCACTTCAGACTAATTCCACCAGTCAAACAAATTACTGAGCAATCTCTAATATAAGTCTTTCTTCTTGTTCACCACTTTTAATATTGGTTTATTTCCTGACATGCTAAACATAGCTCAAAATAGCCTCTTTAGCAATAAAATAAAGCTAATTGTTTTTTCTCTTAGGAGCTTTAATCCAGAACATTCTCCATAGTTCATGATTATTTTGGTAAAGTACATGTTGTCACATAATGTCTCAATCATTAAATGTTTTAAAAAAGTTGTGTGAACTTAAAGACCCTCATTATTGTTTGAATAGCTTATTTAAATGTAGAGTAAACCTAGTCATTTGCTTCTAAAATAAAACAGTTATGTGTAAGGACATCTTCTTTAAAAGTGTAAATTTAGGCCAGGCTCGTGGCTCAACCTGTAATACCAGCACTTTGGGAGGCTGAGACAAGTGAATTGCCTTAGCCCACGGTTCCCGCCCAGGCAACTTGACAAGACCTCGTCTCTACAGTCAAATAAAAAAAATTAGCCAGGTGTGGTAGTGCATACCTATAGTTTTGGCTACTTGGAAGGCTGAGGCAGGAGAATCATAGGAATCCAGGAGGTCAATGCTGGGGTGTCTGTAAGCATACCACTGCACTCCAGCCTGGGCGACGGAGTGAGACTCCAACTCAAGGGGAAAAAAAAATGTGAGTTTATAATGCATTTATATGTAGCCAACTTTGTTTTTTCATATTTACTGAAATAAGAGTAATTGAAGTCTACTGATAATCACCAAACTTAAACTGGCAATTAGTTTCTCTTTTCATTCTAGATAATCACTTTGTATACTTGGAAATTTTTGAATAATTAATTTTTTTTGTTTACTGCCTATAAATGTGGCTGCAATAAAGCCCATCTTCTTTATAGTCATATAGAGATCTCAAACTTAGCACATGCACCCTGAACTACCGTTCTTTCTAAAAATTGCCCTACTCACTGTGTCAGTTGATTGACAGTCCCATCCTTCCAGTTTTTCAGACCAAAGGTCTCAGAGTTTTCCTTGACTTCTCTTTCTCTCATACCTCATATTTCACCAATCAGGAAATTTCCTTTAAAATATACCAAGAATCCAAGTGTTTCTCGTTACCTCTTCCTAAGCACAGTTATCTCTTGCCTGAATTTCTACAGAAACCTCATAATTGTTCCCCCTGCTCTGCCATGCATTCACAACACAGCGGCCAAGATGAGACTGCCAAAAGTTAACTCATATATCACATCTCTGCTCAGAACGCTATAACAATTTTTCTGTCATGTTAGGTCTCTACAGTAGTCCATAGATTCTGCTTTATCTAAAGCTTCCCTCTGACCTCAATACCCACTTGTTCATTCTGCTCCAGCCACATTGGCCTCTGGACCCTATCCTTCTTTGCTTTTCCCTTCACGTGCTGGAAAACTCTTCCCCAGATCATTCCCTCAACTTCTTCGAGTCCTGTGCAGATCCCAACGTCTCAAAGAGAACTTTGAACACTGAAATCTGCCCTCCCTCTCACTGCCCCCACCCTGGGTGTTATTTGTCTTGTTCTTTTGGCCCCTCACTACTTGTTCTCCCAACACCTCTTTCTGATGTATGATTTACTGGTCATATTTATTGTTAATTTTTTCCTTTTGCTCATTGATATGCCATGAAATCAAATAGGTATTCAATAACTATTTTTGAATTGATGAGAAATAAAAATATTCTATATAGATGCATAAGAATGACTCTAGGATATACAGAGTGATATCTTGTATATTAAAAATAAAAGAAAATGAATCTACTGTGATGGCTTTCCAATAAACATTTTGTTTTCATTTGATTTAAGGTATAGATAATGAGGTT